CCCCCAATATTATTATTTAAATTGATCAATTTTTAATACTACAGAACTATATTACCTATTTGATTCCAACGGTACTACCGCCAGAGCTACCATGATTATTAGTATATTTATTTTCCAGAACACTTGAACATGTGATCATCGTGATCGGTTTCGGTTTTGCTCATCACCTATATCTAATTTTGTAATTGTGTTTTTCTAACTTTTGTCACAACTATTTGTATGGACAATACGAGAAATGCCATAGCCAACAATATGTAGTTGAAAGTGACGATTAAGGTATTCAAAAACACAATTACATATCCCTCAAGTTTGTTTGCAGCTTGATTTTGGGTAAAGGTCTCTGTCTTGGTTAAATTAAACCTTAATCACTCTCACAAAAGATCTCATCAATATCAATTGAAAGGAATACAAGCATTTTAGGAACTCTTTGATGTTAACACTTGTATAATATTAAGTTTTTTTTTAACATTTTGCAGCATCTAAATTGACAACTTGTCACTTCATTTTAGTTAAATTTTCATAACTAACTTGAAAAGAATAAATAGTTAGAAGATATTAATAGAAATGCCAAATCTTTTCCTTGTTTAAGTGAATGCCATAGTTTCTTGTTCAAAATTAGTTATATGTTGTATATAATTAGAGTCTCGAAACAAAGCCTAGGCTTACGGGTTGCAGGCCTTCAGAATGACCTGCACCACAAAAAAATGATGAAATTTCACAATTGTTACTCTCGTTGAACCTTGTAAACATGTTCCAATAAAAATTTCAAATAAAAAAAAAAATGTTGAATTTTGACGATTATAGCAGCAGTTCTTTCAATGGTTGAAATATGGCCCGAAATAAAAATTTCAATAGAATTATATATTCCAATGAAAATTGTGAAGAAAAATTCTACAACAATAAACTATTAAAAATAGTGGTTGGTATAATTAAATTCCATGTAAAATGCCAAGGAGATTTAATTCCAACATTTTTTTTTTCTTTTTTGGTCTTTCCAAAAATAATATAAATAATATTTTATGCCAGCCTTTCCAAAAAAAAAAATTAAAAAAAATAAATAAAATAATAATAATAATAATAATAATAATAATAATAATAATAATAATAATAATAATAATAATCAAAATTTTGGGCTAGCATAAAATCAATAACAATAAAGACATAATTAAGTATGATAGTGGACCAATCCTACAACTACTTTTTTTTCGACCCTTGCCAACGAGGACATGCAATTATAATGAATTAATGATAAGTATATTTCAAACTTTATCATTTCAATAGCCAACCTTATGAATCGAACTACTATTCAAAGTGGACGCATGTAGTACAATTTCCTTTACTCATAAGATTATGAAGAGTATTAATGAGACTTTATACGTTGGTCAAGTTTCAATTTTATTTTGCTCACTAATATGAGAAGCGAGAATTGTTAGGATTTTATTTTATTTTATTTTTTCCATTGTAAAAAATCGTGTTGGATTTATACCATTATCAGTAGTAGAAGTAGCCATGGCTAGTCAACGAACCAGGTCACGGCCCAGCCCGGCCCACGAGGCCGGCGGGCCTCTCATGGGTGATCATTAACCGGCCGCGAAAAACCAAGGACCGGCCTGTGGAACCGGCCCTGTCCCAGTTCGGTCCCGGACCACCGGGACAAAAAAAAAAAAAAAACAAAAAGGACCCGAACACGGCCCGTAAAGCCACAGTGTCGGTTCTCGGAACCAGCAACTTACGGGCCAGTTGCGGGCAGGGCCGGGACCGGGTGGGACCGGGACGGCGGGCCGAGCCGGCCTGTAGTATGAATGGGTAGAAATGGGTAGCATGAATTCTACCCACATGGCTAGAAACATTATGGGGGCACTACCCGCAGAACTAGAGATATACTCGAACTTAATCGAACCGAGTAGCTCATGTTAAAGCTCTTGTTCTTTTAATAAACGAGCCAACTCAACTCAACTTGTTTAATAAGTGAGGAAAAGACTAAGGCCGATCGAGCTTATCAACTTGTTTAAACTCGTGAATGTTTAGCTCAAACTGGCTAAGTTCGTTTAATACACTCAAAACCCCACTTGTTTACTAATCGAGGCAAAGACAAAGGCTCGAGTTGATTAGCTCATTTAAATTGATAAATGTTCAGCTCGACTCGGTTGAGTTCATTTAATAAACCCAAATCCTTAAACTAGTCGTTCTCAAAAAGAAAATGTGTGTTCTCGCGAAATTTCAGTTCAAGTATTTTATTTCAAAATAATAAATAAAAATGAAAAACAACCAGCTCGCGTATAAGCTTATGCACATTTATTTAACTAGCTCGATTTGTTGCTCCAGCTTCGTTCGTTCTTTTACTTAAACGAATCGCACTCGAACTTTAATCGCGAGCAGTTAGGTTCATTCCACAGCTTTATACAAAACCTATAAAATGGCACACCGGCCACTT